TATTTCTTTTACAAGAACACCCTCTGGAACAATTCTGTTCTCCCTTTGAAACAAATATTTTAAAAACTCAGGAAAAATAATAAGAAACGGGGGGGAGGGGGGATTAAGATCCAGCAACTAAACGGGATTTTTTTAAATTAAAAAAATCATTTATAAAATATGAACGCAAGATGTACCGATTTACAGTGTAAATGATAAAACGAAGAATTACAAATGTGGCAAGTACATATCAACAATGCTGAGGCTCATCCTCAGAAAGCTGCTGAAAAACAAACAGGGTGAATTAGCATACATTTCATAGGAACTACATAAGATTTAAGAAAAGGGAAAAAAGGGGGGAAATATATACATAAAGTTATTTTCTGGGGTTTTTTTGAAAGGAAGAAATTAAGAAAAAAAAAGCCGACCGTAGGACTCTATCAATATTAGAACTCATGACATATAGGCAGCAATTGTGTATGAACTTATTTTTAGGTATTTGGAACTGTGCATTTGGCACCAGACGCATGACTTTCACCTGTTGAGGCCTCACAAACATCTTTGTCATGTGTCTTTAGATCTTGCTGCTTAAGTAAGTAATACAGCCATTTTTATCATATTGTAAGTTAAAAAAAAATAGTTGATCATCCTTATCCAATATTCTTTTTATCTCTTTTCTCTATGGCCTTCCTCTTCCTGGTCCATTATTCATTTATTGGTTATCTTACTGAAATATGTATTTAAGTTACGTGTACCTCAATATTGTTTGACCTTTGAAAAAGGCCCCAATAGGGCAGAAACACGTCAGGTCATGTGTATCAGCCCTTGTGTTTAGGCTGTAGTTTTTTACGAGGCTTTCATTGGGCCCTTATGTAAGTTTTTAACTGTCTTTCTAATAAATACTTGTATTTTTGTATAAGTTTTAACTAGGTTTTTAAATAAATTTTTAATTTATTTTCGATAAAACAATTCAAAAACACAACATATAAACATAACAAAGATATTACAACTTTCAAAATGTTTTACAATAAATTCAAATACTTAATAAATCACTTTATACAAACATTATATATTTATATAATACTTAATCCAATCAGAACAGACGTATATTAAACTTCTTCCTCCTAAGTATATAGTGACTTCTGCCAACTCTCCTACTTCAACAGAAAATAAAATGAAGATATCTGTCAGGCAGTTTATATAAACGATTAGGAGTAGTATTAATAAATTCAGAATAAGACTATTCATAAACTTGTTTGCTAAAGTAGAGGGAGAGGCTGATAAAATCTGTTCCGCAATATTATCTGATGCTGCTAAATCCCAACATTTTGACACCCATTGTTCAATTGAAGGCACTTTGGTTTGATTCCAGTGTTGGGCTATCAGGGATTTAGCTGCTGATAATAGAATTGAGATCAGTTCTCTTTTTTTCTTTAGTCACTGATAAATCTTTCCAAATATTAAGGATCACTGCTTCAGGCGTAAATGGTAAGGAGTATCCTGTTATTTTAGAGAGTTCTATACAAACTTAAAGACATTCAGAGGTGGTTCGCCGTTGCCTGCCTCTGCAGAGCAACCCTGGACTTCCTTGCTGGTCTCCCATCCAAGTATTAACCAGGCCTGATCCTGCTTAGCTTTTGAGATCTGGCAAGATGGAGCTAGCCTAGGCCATCCAGGTCAGGACAACTAGGTTTTTAATATTGGCCCTTCATTAGACTTTCTTCTCACCAGGGGTCATTTCGTAGAAAAAGAGGTGCAGGAGCTCATTAGCATAACTCATTAGCATAACTCATTTGCATGTGCCACACCCCCTGACATCACCGGAAGCATGTCGGAAGGCAACACCCACCGCTCAGGCTCCACTGGACTGTTTTGGATTGCTAGCCATTGGGAACGTGCTGATCTGTCCTCTCAGAGGAGGGAGAGCTTGTACCTGAATAAACCTTGACCTTGCATGTGCCCGCCCCCTGGGCTCTTTACTGCCGGAGCTCCGCTCCTGTGCGCTCCTGCAGGAAGTGACCCCTGCTTCTCACCCAGTAGATTACCTCAGCCACAGGTGGCTGGGAGATGGCAAGCCAAATCGATCAACCGGCCGAAGCATCAGCACTGGACCGGAAGGAATTAGTGACAAAATCTGCAAAGGAAAAGGCGTGCAAAATGAGATTCGGATGTGCCTGAAATGGAACGATCCAAGAGTCTTAAATTTT